CAACTGTCAGCACAGGCAGCAGGAATCTTGCTGCAGACCTCTCCAGAGCTCCACCACAGCCTGTACTCTCAGGGGAAGAATGGCTTCCAGAGAGTCTCCGCAGGTTTTGTGCAAGGTCCTCCTGGTTTACGGCTTCTGAATGGCTTTCATGAACACAGTCCAGAGGACCTCTGACTCCTCGGGCTTAGTCTGTATTCTCATGTTCTCCGAGTCCAGGTTCACCAGCTGCTCCTCCGCCGACTCTGGACCTTTCTGGTTCTCAATGTCAGGAGCAAGAGTGACCTGTTGTATGGCATGTATTCCCAGGGGTTTCTCCATGTTTGAATGATTCAGACACATCTGTGGGTGGGCATCTGCAGCTGATGCATGGTGGGCCAATTGTCAGCGTTTCTCTGTGTCATGGTAGTTCTCAATGAAACAGTGGTGGCCGGCCTGAGGGCCCGTGTGCAACAGCGCTCACCTGTGCACCAGAGCCCCTCCTCCCAGGTGCCTGTTAGGCTGGGGGTCGACCCAAGGGCCAGCGCTCCCCGCCCTGTGGCTTCCCGGGCACCGGGGGCCCTCCCTCCGGGGGCCCACGAGGCAGGAAGCTAGCCAGCCGGAAGACTGGCGCTCCCTGCCCGTGGCTCCCTGTGCGCCAGAAGCCCTCCTTCCAGGGAACTACGAGGCCGGGGGTGAGCCACCGGTCCAAAGACTGGCGCTCCCAGCCCAAGGCTCCCCGTGCACCCCACTGCCCATTATTTAAAATAATGTTCATTTATTTGTGCAAATACAGTTTTAAAATCTATTTTTGTGGATGAAAGTCTAAATCAATTAATCAAAATAAAACTGAAAAATTTTCCAGTCCTTGGACATGTTCTGAGAAGTACACTCCTAAAGAATTACTGCACTTGTAGAGCACCTGTTATGTATATCCAATAAGCATCAAGATAATGTGAATAAATATAAAATGCTTCATCTTTGATAAATCAGAACTTGGGACTTTGGGGGCAGACAAGACAAAAATACTTTAAAGATCTACAGAGTAATGCAAGGCAATGTGGGATTAATTGCTAAATGAAATGAAGCAAACACTGGTAATAAAGTTCAGAACAGAAGAGATCAATATGGACTCTTTAGAGATGGGGTTGGTGAACTGGACTTTTCTTATTGGAAAGTATATGCATAGAAAATGTAGAAGAGGAGATGAGGATACTCTAAGACAGGAATATAAGCGGAGGCTTGGAAATAAAACCTAGTACTGCTTGTCCATGCCATAAGGGGACTGTCCAGCCTTAGAGACAGGGGAAAAGCACAGAGAGTTAATAGAGAGCTTTGAATGCTATAGTTCTAATTCATGAACACTAGAGTCAAGTAATGCTTGTTTTGCTCTTTTTTGAAATATT